AAGGATGATAATTTGGGCCATCTAATTTTATATTGACAAGGTTTTGGCCATGATTCTCTCCTGGGTGAAGATAATATGAATTTCCAGGATTCTAATAGGCATCAATAGCATCGCGGTTATTGCTTATTTTTTTCATGAGAAGAGACAATCTTTAAGGTTAACAAGAAAAGAGATGAAAAAAGGAAGATTGTTCAGTGAAGTAGAGTGAGATTAACCCACTTTGATACCATATTGGATTTCTTCCATATGGTAAAGCTTGAACGTGGAATAAGAAAAGAATTGTGTAAAGATTACACATGCAACAAGAAAAAGAATGGAAGAAGACAAATATATTTAATTGTTGAAAAGTGAGTTAGAAAACTGAAGAGTTGGGAACAATCTATAGAAAAAACAGAAAGGAAAATTGAAACCTAATAACAAAATGATAAAATCGAAACCCCAACAATCATATATTACAAATTATCTACAAAATAAGATAATTATTTAGTCAAATTAAATGCCTACATAAAATAATTTAATATATAAGAAAGTAAAGAATCTTTATTCAAATCATTTTAATTAAAATGAGGTCACATAGATTTATCAATGACATAAATGATAAAAAACAAATACATTATTGATATGGGTAGGAGATATGAAAGGAGATATTCAATTTAAACAAACTTACATGTCTTTCAATGCAGTCAAAGTAAATAATAAAGTTAAACTACTTCCAATAAATTGGTTAACTAAAAGAAAATTGCACATATAATCCAAAATACACAACAATCAATAAAGAGGAAGCAAAAAAAAATCCAATACATGCACAAATTTGCACAATTTTAGAATCCTGACACAAATAAGATGATAAGAAAACTATTAATAATTTATTATATGTGTCAATAATACATACTGAGATCAAGAGGGAGGGTGAATTAATCTTTCAAAAGCTTACAATTTTTTTTTCAGATTATTAATCAAAGAATGAATCTTTATTAATATTTATTAATTGAAATTGTAAGCAAAGAGATACGAGAAAGAAAAGATAAAAGAACACAAAGATTTTTATACTGGTTCACCCAATTCACACAGCTATATCTAGTTCTTAACAAATTTCTAGTTGAGTTCAACTAATCAATGTTATCCTGATTACAATATTACAACTGATAGAAAAACTATCTACACTAAGAACTATAACCAATTCTTAAACACCCAACCATTACTTCCAATTGCATAAACTGTGTCCAAGACTTCTAGACACTTCAATGAAAAATTGTTGAATTATAGAAAGACAAATTACGAAACAAAACTGCTGCAAAAATTTAAACTCAAATTTAGATACTTCAAAGTTAAAGAACAAGAATGTCTCAATCGAATTTTTTTTAAGGATTTTAAACGAATAAGATGATTTTGTTTTACTCAAGAAGATTCATAAATGATAACTAAAATGTGTTCTCAAAGTATACCTTATTTGAACAAAATCTAAGAGTGATTGGAGAAAAAATTATTGCTTTTAATCGATTAAATAATCTTTTAATCGATTAAAGTAACTGAAAACAATTAAAAGTATTTTTTTAAATTATTTTAACTGATGTAAATTTGAATTAAATGATTAAAATAATTTGAAGAATTTTCTAGAGATGATTTAAATTATACAAATTCTGAACTAATTGATTAAAATAATTCTATGATTTTCTAGTAACAAATTAATTAATAAAAATCTAGTATTAATAGATTAAAACATATGTACCATTTTTTGAGTTTCATGTTAAAAACATTTTAACATATTAAAATTACTATTAATACGATCATGTTAATACGATCAAAACAATGAACTTTGTAATCCTTTTTATGTTTAAGTTATTTTAATCAATTAAAACGAAAATGAATCGATTAAAAATATGAAAAAAAAGTTCTTATTCTACTTAAGTGAATTTAATGGATTAAAACGAGAATGAATCTGATAAAGTTTTGAAAGAAGAACATATTAACAAATTAAAAACATTTTGAGGCACTCTTTTTTCTTTTGCATCTTGTAAGTGAGATTCTAAGACTTGAGGTAAAGATTAGTGCTTACATTAACTACAAATTATATGCATACACACAAGATATTTAGATTGCAATACTCCTTTTGACTTCATCAAATTTTTTAATGATCTTTTTCACAATCTTCTTTATCAATATGTTAATCAACAAACTAATGTAAAGAGTCTAGTCAAAATAGTAACAAGAAAATTTTCTATGTTAGAGACATGTCTTTAGCTATAAGTAAAACTAGTGATCTTAATGCAAATAATTCTTGTAAATTTTTTAGAATTTTTATAACACAAATAACTAATTTATATGAACATTCTTAAGTTATTAATTGACTAAGTTTATAAGTAGTATTACTCAAAAAAGAACCAACAACAAGTCATGAAACGATGACAAGATAAAAGTAAAGAAAAACATTCCAAAAAAATAATAATCTATGATCTTAACATTTGTTTCTAACAAATGACTTCAAAAAGCAAAAAAAGTAAATTTACATATGCAAAAAGAATCAATTTCAATATATCAAAATCATAATATATTAAATTAATTATAATAATAATAATTAAAGTAAAATAATATACTTCGATGATTTAACATTGATATGATGGACCAACTGCACTATCGAATCCAACTCCTCTTGATGCTTTTTAACTCCTATTGAACAATCTTGCAATTTTAAAAACTATTAAATGCAAATATTATTATATATAGTAAAATAATTAAAGAGAAAAAGTTCAAATTCTTCGTACTTGTGACTATCTTCAAAAAGTTAAAACTCTTGTTGGTATTAAGAATGTCAAACTTAGTTATTACAATTTTTAACCAATTTTGAGTACAAATAAGTATTTCAACTGTTGAAAGATTTAATGACCTTCTAAAAGTATCCAAACCCTACCCCGAATACTAAATGCACTCTCAGAAGTCACTATAGAAACAAGGGTGACCAACACATTTCTCACCATTGTTGATATGATAGAAATTCATGAAATTTTTATTTTCCACCAAAGTAAAGTATCAAGTTTTTCATCATCATTTACAACATATTCATTTAAATACCTTTCTAGTTCAATTTTTCTATGAAATCCTTTTCTCTCATATGCTTTTTTAAGGCATCAACCCTTGCCAAATATTTACGAACTTCAACAAAGGAAGATGATTCAAATGGAGATGTAAAGTCTATTGCACTAACATGTAACTGCTGAGATCTATATTGCTGCTCATCATGAGCTGATTTGTACCAATCATACTTTTTTTCAAACTTTCTTTTATAAAGTTTACTAATTTAATAACTTTATATGAATCATGTTTATACATTTCTTTAAAAGTTCGAATCACATACTCAAACTTGTAACGAAGTTAAGAAATAACACTTCCAACAAACAATTTATGTTATGGACACTATCTTAATATTTATGATATTTCAATCTCATATCACAACCAGTTGGAGCTAAAATAGTATTAGATTAATAGTAGCCTTATCAACTGCAGAGTAAATAGTAATTAATTGGTGAAATGCAATGTGTACACTCACATGTAATGATGTAGAAAAAACCTTAGTGACATTATAAAATTTTTTCAAAAACTTAATAATGCTAGGACATGTTTCCAATCATAGGGGACCTTCAACACTAAAAAAACTTATATAATTAGAGTCCTCATTCTTTAGTTTTTCAAATATAACTTGAAATTTTGGTGCTACAACATTATATGTGTGGAATTCTACCTTGTGGGAACATCAAGACATTAGTTTTTTGCAATCAATTTTTGAAAACTCTATACACTTAAACTTAGTCATATTTTGTGGTGAAAATCTTACAAATCTAACAACATTCCTAATACTTATTATTGAATTGTGCAACTCTTTTAAACCATCACTGTAACCAAGTTTAGTATATGGGCATAACACTTGATATGGAAAAATTGTCCATCCATTACTAACTCACCCATGTTCTTCATTCTCTTTTTTAACCTAATTTTTTTCATCCATATACAGTTGAAACCAATCTCTATCAATTGTAAACCTTGACGGGATAAAGGTTACAAGTGTCTCCTCACCCTCAACCATCCTAAATGGTTGTTCATCTATAATAATAAAAACAATAACTCGGTTTTGATAAGTTTAAATGTTATACTTTTGATTAATTGCAACAAGACCAATATTTTCACCACTTGTAAAGATGAGTGTTGTTTGGTTAAGATTATTAATGATAGCATACAAATATTTATAACATAATTTTTTAATGCAATTAAGTAGGTTATAATTAGATAAGTGACTTACCACAGTAATTGTAGGTTATAATTAGATAAGTGAATTCAAGGATTTTTGTGAATTGATCTCAAACAATAGAAGTTGTCTCTTTACCACTAACATTTGTTTTTTTTTTTTTTTGTATTTTATATAATACAAACATTAGGATAAAGTTTTACACCTTTAATTATAGTTGTAGGTTGGTTAGGTGGTTTTGTACTGCCATTTTTTTGGCATTGGAACAATATTGGTGAGATCTTTATATTCAAAATAAGTGTGTAATGTTAAAGGTGATCTCTAATTAGACAACTGCATTACAACTATAATAAAGAAGTCATAGTTAATAACCTTCAATTATAATATTTGCATTGTTTTAGGAACTCTTAATTAAAAATTTAATAATTATATTGAAAAAAATATGATTATTGATTGAATATTTTCACTCCTATTATTCTTTGTTAAAGTTCCAACATAAAATTAATTAGTAATATTCTTTGTTAAAGTTTCAACATAAAACTAATTAGTAATATGTGAAATAATCTAACATGTATTTAAATTATACTAAATTTCAACCAAACCTAACGGACCAGACAAAATATATTTTTAACCTAACTAAAGGACAACTTTAACCATGACAAAAATATTATATTTTGACTCTCTTGCCATGTTAAAGTTACAACTTAAATGCAAAATGCATGTTAAAACTAATCCTGAATGCAAAATGCATAGATGCAGTAGACTAACGTATATTTAAATTACATTCTTTATTCTTCTCTTCATCATCTTCATCTTTAAGAAGATTTGCCTGAACAACAAAGTCTTCTTCTAAATCCTCAACATCAGATCCCAACCTTGACACATCGCTGTCATCAAGCAATGCAGCCACTTCAGGATCAACCGCTTTCTGCACCCTTACGCTGGTAGTCTTGGATGCAACAGTGTACAATGAATTCTCCTCAGGCTCTCCATGGACCTCAGAAATTTGCAATCTCGAAGCATCATATGCCTTAACATCACGAGGGAGGTGCTGAAGCTTGAACTTGGGATTGTGAAAGAAAGCAGCACTAACGCCAGTGTTCTTGATTTCCCTCAAGTGACTCAAGTAGTTATAGCCATCATTCGGAAATCCTAGTTCCAAAATCTCCTTTTTGACTTCCTCGGGCAAAGGGCCACCGCTAACTCCACAATTGTAGTCATCGTATTTGTCTTCGAAACCGGAATCTTCAGCGAGAGGGAAGGAAACGGGGTTGTTGTCCACACGGACGAAGACGCGATCGGATTGGGAGAAAGAAGGATCGGTGGAGTCGCGAGCGATGAGTTGGAAAGTGGCAGACGAACCAACAATTACAAAATGTCGGTGTTGTTGTGTTTCTCGCTGTGCCTTTGCACAATCTGCAATCTGAAGTGGTGGTACTTCTAGAATGAAAAATGCAATGAAACTATTTTTTCTGAGCAATATCTGATCAATAGAAACCCAAACATTGCACAAGTACTGCAAATTTCTACCCATTCCAGAGATACAGATAATTGTGGACCTCTTCATGGGGTAACAGATGGTGTACCAGGGGTGGACTGTGTTGGTGAGAATCCAAGAGCCCGTCGATTGCTGGATGAGCAATTTGATTTGCTGGAACGCCAAGAATATGGAACTGATGATGATAACGACGAAGATGATGGTGATTATTATAAAAATTATCAAGCTGAGGAAGATGAGTCCCTTGCAGAGAAGCTCAAACTCTCTCTTAACCATGCAATGGATGATCTAGAACTTGATGATGACAAGTATAAGGTTCCTGCAGATTTATTGAAGAATAAAGCGGCCCCACATGAGGAACAAGATGATACTGCTGCTGATGTGATTCCTCGTTGCAAGGAATATTCTGAGGGCTATGAAGTTGAAGATGATAACAAGGATGTTGTACTTGTAGAATAAAGTAAAGTAGTGATGAATCGGAAGTGTGGGATTGTGAGACAATTGTTTCGACATACCCAGAAAAGAGTTGAAGACACCCGGATTCCCCAAACAGAAAAAAAAAAAAAAAAAACCTTGGAAGTGAAGGAATGGGGTGACAATTTTGTGCTGACAGTGGCAGGTGTAAACGCAGTCTCTTCTTCTCAGGAGTGACGTCAAGCAATCTGCCTCCATCTTTCGCCGCAACGGTGAAGCAGATTCGCAACTGGCTTGAAGAAGAAACTGCCGCTTCTTCCAAGTCAATGGAGAAGGCCACTCCCAAGGAACTTGAATCAAAGGTTCCTCCCAAAGACATGCATAAGGAGGACAAACATTAATGATTATGCAGGTTCGTCAGTGCAGTAATTTTGTGCTTTTGTGTTTCTCTTTCGGTCTATGATTGGATACATGTTTTTGTGTCTTTACTAAAAATCTTCATCATGTTCATATTAATCTTGAATAAACCTTGTATCCGTATATATATTTAGCATGATATATGACAATTTGGTTAAAAAAATTTGTTAAGATTTTAATATAAAATTAATTAATAATACGTAAAATAGTCTAACATATATCTAAATCATATATGATGTATACAATGCGAGACTTTCAACACTCTTTAAGATATATTTTGTCAAAAAAAAATCAAAATAAAACAAAATTTATAAAGAAATATAAAGTTAATAGTAAAATAAATAAGTTTATTATTTGCTTTACAGGTGTATGCACATACATGCACTCACACATATAAAAAAAATACACTTATAAAGAACTAAGATATACATTGATTAATCAAAGCATTTACAAAAGAATTCTTTTGAAGAATCATGAAGATAGCAATGCATGTATAATTGAAAACTTTTTTTTTTATCAAAGTTTTAATTTACATATGGAAAAAAAGAAAACAACATGAGAAATACTATATCTTTCCTAAAATTACAATAGAGGAAACAACTAAGTTCATCTTTTAGAGTAAAAAAAGTTGAAAAATACTTATATAGAGAGAAAAGAAAAAAAGATTTTAGTTAATATATTTTAGTAAAGTGCATCTTTATCATCTACATTTAAAAAAGAATTGACAAGTCTTTTATAACAAAAGTTATCTTAAGTTAGAAAACAAATTCTCATTTTTTTTTATGAAGATTTGAAAGCATTTTGCTTCACACATTTCTTAGCACTCTCCAATACTTAACCTCCAATTTAAATGCTTTATTCTTTAATTATGGACAAGTTTCAACCAGTATTTTATTAAAATCATTAATATTCTTATAATATACAAAGGTTAAACACAATATGAATAGAAAAACATAACATTTAAATTTAAGTTCTTATAAAAACTATGCTAAGAAAAAAATTGGAATATCAATTTAGTATAAATTGTAATATCTACGCTACCATACATCATATGACATCCCTCCACCTAACAATACAAAATATGTAGTATAACACTTTAATAGAATATAAAACCATATTAATACACATAAAACATTAGTAATGTTACAATTAATTTATCAAAGACTAATTAATTTTTTTTCTAAAACTTCTACAAAATTTAAGACCATTTTGAACTGGTATAGTAAACAAATTTTAAACTAGATGTCAAAAATTGTGCACTACATGGATGTTATCATAATTTTAGTTTATAATTAATAAGAAGGTGAAGGATTTTGAAAATGAAAGCAAAATTTGTTCTAAGTTGTAACCCACTAGTGAACTACCTTAGTATAAAGGGCAAATAGAAGTTGAATCACCACTTTTATGACATGCATTGGTTTTGAATGTTAAGAATGTTAAGATGAACAAAGTTATTCTTTTTTAATATTTTTGCTTGCATTAACAACAAGACATAAAATTAGAAAGTAAAAACTAATAATAATAAATAGGATTCATAGTATATCTTTCTCTCTAGCAGCTTAACAACACAATATTAAAAAAAAAAGAGAAAAAATAATATAAATTAGTTACTTGTTTATGTCTTCAAGTAAACATATTCATAAAAACATATGCATAGATACTAGAAGCAGTAAAGAGAAATGTAAATAATACAATTTGGATCGAGAGAGAATGAAGAAGATAAAAAAAAGTTAACCTAGAACATAGAAAATCATGATGAAAAAATATTAATCTCGGTCTAAGTATAAATTAGCCAGTTTGTAAATAGATTCATGAAAAAATATATATAAATACTAGAACAAGCAAAAGAGAGAGAGGTAAATAATACAACCTAGAAGAGAGATCAAGAAAGATGAAGAAAAATTAACCTATGACACAAAAAAAATAAGAGATGAAGAAAACTAATCTCGATCTGAATCGTTTTAGAGTTAATGAAGGTAAATGCTTGAAAGAAGGAGCTCTCTAAAAGAGGGTTAGAAGCGGCGCACATAGGGTTTCTTAACATTTCTCTTTTTATACCTAGGATTTTTTAGTTTCACAGTGAGTGTATATTGGTCAGATCGATACTTTTAAAATATCAAATTCAAATCTGATCATTTTTATCCATTTATTTTTACCCAATTGCCTTTTAACTCGATCAAATCCAACTTATTTTTAATTTCATCTTCAACTTTAGTCGGATTGTAACATTTGCTCATATCTAATGAAAATATAGACTTTTTTTTTTTTACAATTTATAATGTAGGAACATTCGAGACGTCGACGGAACATAATGAGTTATTTGATTTTAAGTATATATATATATATATATATATATATATATATATATATATATATATATATATATATATATATATATATATCATAGGTTGGGTGAGTGTATATATTAGAATTGCAAATATTATTTTTTTTATTATTTTTATATCATACTAATCCATTAACTTTAAAGAATAATTATTTAATTTAATTTTCATCTTATTTTAACTATTATTTATTTTTTAGTCTCTATTTTATTTTATATTTATAATCATCATTATAACAATCATAATACAATTTTCATTATTTTTAATATTAATAATGAATTTATTATATTATATAAATATTATTTTATTAAATCTAAATTTTTAAATCTTAGATTAATATGATTTTAAAAACTTTGATTAATATTTCAAAAATTTAAACTACTCAAATCTCCTTGACCATGTAGAAGCACCTTTTTACACACCTCATAACACATTACAACTTTAATATGATATTATGAAATAAATTTTAGATTAATTAAAAGTGTAATATTAGAGAACAAGAGATAAATTTGTGCAAAAGTTAAATCCAATATTTTAAATTGTTATCACAATCAAGTTTTTTATATTGTAAAAAATTGGGACTAATGTGGTCACAATTATTTATTGTCCCAAAAATATGAAAAATTTCGATAATGAGAAAAAAAAATCCAGTCACAAATTATTTTTTAAAGAACCTTGTTTAAATCACAAGATGTATAAAAAAGAGAAAACCATGTCAGCCTTTTGCAATAAAAGATGTATCTGCGAAAGAAAATATATTAAAAACATGAGTAATTTGTAAAGGGTAGTTTTATTACACGAAAAGAAAGACTCATTGGCAAGTCCATGTCTACATAACTTGATAACATAGGTAAACTCGAAAACCACTAAAACCAAAGGAAAAAGAAAAGAAAAGAAAAGAGAAAACTACTAAGCCATATTATGGTGATACAATCGCTCCTCGTTTGTTTTGTTTGTCCACACAAACACGATACAAATATTCAAGCTTCACTCTCTTCTTCCCAAGCGTAACTCCAAATCAATTTCTTCATCAGCAGTAACATTCATGGAAGTGCTTGCAGCTGCATCACTCGTACGACTCTGAGACTGGTGCACGATGGTGTTGGTGCTAGAACTAGCTTCTGTGTATCGCGGAACCAAAAGGAAAGGAACATTCATTGGGACAGGTACGAGGATTTGTAGTGTCTGGTTAACAATCACAGGCATGGAGTTGGAAGCATATGGACCCACCATGATGTTCTGACTGGGAGACATGGGATAAGTTGCAGAGAAGGTTGGATGCCTGATATTTAAGTCATGAGGGTATGTTGGCTGTGGTGGGTATGTTGTTGTTGGTACCTGCATAAAGAAGCCAGCAACATAGCCCTGAACTTCTTGAGGAATCCTGATGCACACACACAAAAAAAAAAAGAGTCTTTTACCAATTTTGGACCAATGTATTATCAAATGAAAACAACTGACAAAATATTTCCCTTTTTTATCCATAACAATTTTTCTCAGATATTAAGAAAAACAAAAAATATTCTTAATTTAAAGAATGCAATTTAAATTAATCAGATTAAGTTTGAAGGAGACAAACTCATGCTCTATCAAGGCCCAAGACTCATGAAGCCAAGTTCCATAAAAAATCAGGTGTGTGTTTGGTTCAAGTATTGGTCCATGCTCTGTTTGAGTCCAAGGCTCATTGAGCCTAACTCTGTAAAGAATCAGATTTGTGTTTGACTCGAGCACAGGTTCAAGTATGGCTTCAACCCCACCAAGCATGACTAGTTGGAACCTAGTAGCAATTTGAGAGGGCTCATGGGTGCGAACTAAAATCATGTACCAAGTAGTTTGTTGTGTGTTGGTCTGGCTCATGTTGGGATCTGTGCTGGCCATTAAGGGTGTAGGAACTTGCAAAAGGTGAATTTGCTTAATGTAAGTAGGGTTTATGGACAATGATTTCAGGCACCATTGTTCAGCAAAGGTGATAAAACATGAAGGACTGAAATTGGACTTGGACTATGGTTTGAAAAATACAAATTCTTGCAACTTCATTTATAATACATGATGGCTACACTCATTTACCAAAATATCCCTTGCAAATTTTGTCAATATATTTTCCTTAGAATATAATCATACACTTACTACCATTCTGTTTTGAAAGTTAATGTTGATAATTTTAATATATGGAGAGAGAGGGATGAGAATACGTTACATAATTAGTATTATCTCTCTTCATTAAATTATGTCTATTAAATAATTAAGGTTTCAATTAATGCTTAACATAATATATATAATATGATGTTATTTTATGATGTTGTAGTTAGTTTTTTTTCATTCATAAAATATAGTTATTTTATTTTATTGTCAATAATATATCGGAAAAAGTAGTATTTTTATCTAAACAATAAATTTGAGTTAAGAAGTCATTATATAAAATGGTGAATATCTTTATGTGTATTTTATGTATATGTTAATATGTGTTTATTGTATGAAAAAGAATGATTCTCCTAAGAATTGTATAGATTAAATAAAAAGAATTATCATTGATAGATTAATTAAATGTCTTTAAAAACTTAAATATAAAAATTTAAGATGAAATAAAATAGTAATTTAATTTTTCTTAATAATAGTAATTCCTAAACTATATTTTTGAATAAAAAATAAAATAAAAAATTAAAAAAAGTGACTTTTTTCCTCTAACTTTTCAATAATTTAATAATAAAACGTGTTTATCTTAATTATAACATTTATTATTACATTTAACGTGAGATATATATTTTTTATTAAATCTTGTTTGTTTGTTTTTTATTAATGACGGTTTCTAAATTAACTTTTAATAAATGCACCACTTTATATATATTATTTTAAAGAGTTTATTCTTTATTTTCATCGTTTATTTATTTTTTATTTTAAAAAATAAAAAAATTATAATTTATTTTAATTATTAGATTATAATATAATGAAAATAAAAAATAAAAATTTTATACTTCTATTTGGATTAAAATAATCTTTCTTTTTATTTTGTGTGAAAAAAATTAAAATATATGAATATAACTTTATTAAACGTTACACCTTTCTAGAACATGTAAATAGATAAGTTTATTTTGAAAAAAAAGGTTGAAAAAAAATCCCTTTATTATCTTCTTTCTTTCTAACTTTTTATAATTTAATGATAAAACGTGTTTATTATAACATTTATTATTTATAAATTTATATTTTATTGATTTTTTTAATTATTTAATAAATAATATATAAAGGTTCATTTGAGTTTAAAATTTACTTTTAAGTTATTTAACACTTAAAGTAATATATTTAAAGAAGGTATCTATTTCTTTTAAGAATTTATATATTTAAGTCTTTCTTTTTGATACGTATCCTTCTTTTATTTTATATATATATATATATATATATATATATATATATATATATATATATATATAATAGATATATGGATAGATAGAAAAATATCAATTTACTCAAGTTTTATAATTTAATTATTAAAATAAATTATTATTTTAATTTATTAAATTAAAAGAAATGAATGTTGAGATAATTTTTTTTTAACTTACTTATTCTTATCTTCATTAAGAGTACTAATCATTATACTACCTTAAAAAAAAGTAAATATCTAATTTTTATTCTTGGAGTAAATGAATTTTCCCCCTCTCTCCTTAATATATATTAAAAATAAGAGTGATACGAGATCATATGACCACCTCAAAATTTTTATTTATTTTTAAAATTTTATATAAAAGTATTAAATTTTTTTTTCACTTTTGCCTTCATCTCTTTTTAGTTTTTATTATAAAATTTATCATTTATACCAATAATTATATATATATATATATATATATATATATATATATATATATATATATATATATATATATATATATATAACATGATGCCATGTCATTCTAAAAAGTTTTTTACTATAAAAAGAAGGTATAAAAAATTAGTTACTTATTTACTCATTTATCTAAGTACGAGTAATATTTTTTAAAAGTGTTTTTTTTTAAGCTTATTCAGGTAAAATATATAACAAATCTTTCAAAAATTTTGTTTAAAGAAAGAAAGAAAACTACTATACAAAACTCAAGAATTTTAAAGATTAGAAAGGGAGAAAGTAAAAAAATATAAACCAAATAATAAACAATTAAGTCAAGATTTCAAAGCAATGATTAGAATAGTTATATCATTAGTCCTAGGTATTCGATCATAAGGTCATCACACAAACATATACAATGTAGAGTTTTCTAACCACAACTAGTAACTTCAATTTAAAATGAAACTTAAAAAAAAAAAAACTTAGAACAAAGAAAATAAACTAGAGAGACACTTTCTTAATGAAAAAGGATGTAATTCTTCAATCACTTAGTGTGTACAGCCAAATCAAAACTTTTCAATACTTTTCTTATAACAAGAAATACTAACAAATTAAGCAAATCACTTCCAAACCGTGTTTCAAGGAAAATAATCAAAGAAACAAAGAATAAACATAGAACTATAATGATTTAACAATGAAAACTAATTAGAGATGGAAATTTTGGTCACGAACACCAAATAATGACTAATTTCAACTTCCAACGAATTTGCATTTTTGAATGCTTTACTTAATTTGCATTTTTGAATGCTTTACTTGATGTCCTTGCTATATTTTGATGTGTTGCTTGAGGTGATGAGCTTGATTTAGTTCTAAGATTTGGTATCACTTGATAGAAACATTGTTTAAACTTTGCATGTTTAGGAGAGTTTCCACTACAAGCTTAAATGCATAGAAGATGAAGAAAAGAGAAAGAATCTTGCATCTAATAATTTCATGATGTGTGAATGTATGAGTTATTATTTAGTCCACTCAAGGATGGTAAAAGGAAAAAGATTGAATCAATTTAAGAGCTCTAAGTAAGGTTCTAAGATGAATCTTGGAGGTTGAAGGATTTTCTTTATTGGATGGAAGCTAAGTGTAGTTGAAGGTGAGTTATTGGTTGGTTTTTATGGGATTATGGTATGGAATGGTAGAAGGGATTGACACTTTTGGTTTGAATTATGTTAGAGTTTTGGTAAGTGAAAAAGGATAAGGCCTAGAGCTAGTTTGTGTTTCTTAGTGAAATTGAACTTGGTTTTTGGCTTGGTGTGGTGTTTTTGGTAGTTTGTATGGCTTGGCTGAATGATGTTATGCACTTGATATTCATTCTTGGTGAATATTGATACAAGAAGATATTACTAAAGTAAGGTTTTCCAAGAAAAGGAGAAGATAGACTAAAGATATGAAAATAAGGTAAGAAAATACTAAAGGAAAGAAGATTGTACCTTTGTTGTTTTAAGAAAGACTTTAAGATTAGGAGAACTATGATGTGTTAGGATCGGGTTCTTACCACTAGGCTAAAAACTATAGCCATTAATCATAAACTCTTTTTACTTAAGAGTAACAGCCCAAGCGTCACGATTCGATTGTGACTCGACCTCCGCCACGGGACAATTGATACTACCTACAACATGATGAACTTACAATTCACAACCTAGGTGTCACTCATACTCATGGGTCAGGCAAAACTAGAAGGAGATATCATTTAGAATGTGAACCAAGATAAGAGTTTTCTAAGGAAAAAGAATGAATTACACTTTTTTTTCAAAAATATCTCTTTAGATTTCTTTTGGATAACAAAGTTATGGTCAAGTGTACAAAAACTCTCTTTTTATAAAGTCTTGGGTGTAGGAAAGAGTCTCTGCATAATCTTCTTCTTATCCTAATGTCTAAATAAATCTAAAGTCTAAACTACCAAAAGAATAACCAAGTATACCATAAGTTATCCTTGTATCTAAACAAAGATTTATTACATGAAAATTGATTTTTTATTTTCTTGAAACACTTGAGGAAGACTTTTCAAGATCACAAACCAAAGAAATGGCTAGTGTGGCTGGACGATTCTACTTAGTTTGGTTGTGCCCCAAAGGCGCTTTGGTAATGATGATTGGGTCTTTAAGGCTTTTGAACACTAAAAAGAAAACAACCTGAAAAGACAAGAAGGATGAAGTGACACTTGCTAATAGGGGAGGTGACATCATGGGTCTGGTTCCCAGGGCCTAAGAGGCTTCTTTTTCTCATCTCTAATTCTAGTCTTCCTCAAAGTTCCTATCTAATATCACATCCTGATATTGGATGGTTAGTAATGTAACTAACAGAATACTAGAATGTTTATTACTTTTATGGAGTAAACAGGTGTTTGTGATGATTGAGTCCTTTTCTAATAATAATTTAGGGGGTTGTTGGATGGTGGAAAAAGGAGAGACATAAAGTTGTGATGATTAATGTGTATGTTTTGTGTTATTTAAGGGGAAAAATGAAATATGGGAAGAGATTCTTTTAGTGAAAAACAAATTAGTGGAGATATATTTTTTTTGTTGTATTTTGGGTGATTTTAACTCAATGTTATCTTGAAGTGAGAGGAAGGATGAAGTCTTTTAGTAGATAAAAAGATATTAAATTGTTTAATGATTTTATTGCCATTTGGTCAAGGCAACAAGTAGGATTAATAGATTCTTGTTTTTTTTTAAGAAAGATTCATACTTGTAAAACTATCTCAAAATGGAGGTTTAGAGATTTGTATCTAATCCTTACCTTATTTTGTTTGAGAAGTGGAGGCTAATTAAGGTCAAGACCATTTTGCATGCTAATATGTGGTGAAATATTTTTGGAAATGGATAATGGAAAGTTTTGTGGGTTGAAGGTAGGAAGACTTATATGTTAAAAGAAAAGTTCAAATGCATCAAAGGAACTTTGAAAGAATGACACAAATCTTATGGTAAAAATATGGGAGAGAAGTGGTATAGAAAGTAAAGAGTTAAATGAAGATTATATTTTACAAACAAGAGAAAGTATAACTCTCGCATTT